TAGTATTTAACCAAGTTTGTTGGGAATCTGGTTTTAGATAACTATGGACCAGTTTATCTTGTAGCGTAGGACATCTTCTAAAGCTTGCCAGAGGTGGATCAGGGAACACCTGGCTTAAACATGGGGGACAGGTAGAGACAGCTAAATCAGAAGGAGACTTTTTGGATATTTAAACTGCAGGCTACTAAACATTCAGGCATTAATGATGACCTAGACTTTAGAGGTTTTCTTTGATTGGTTTAGTCTGTTTGAAGTTTAGGCATTATTCTTGTCCCTTTTGCTCTTGATATTATAATTTTACTTCTACTGGGTGCTTTTTAACCATTTGTATATAATGTATGATATTTGGTGTATTTTATTTACTGTCTGTTTCTTTCAATTTAGTAAGGATGACACCTGCTGGTGATTGTTGACACCTGTCACCTGTCTAACACATCTGCTAAGTGGAGCTTTCTGATTGGTGTTTGTATTGGTTAAGAACTTCTCCTTACTGCTGAGAACTGTTTGACTCCCTGACGAAGGCTACATTCGCCGAAATGCGGTGGAGTTTTTAAAAGACCATAAGTGACCTAGCCATTACAATAAAGGCTTTTTAACTTTTTCTATTTGAGAGTGCCTTGGGGTGTCTCTTGTTTTTTCGACTATATTTTCCCATCCAAAGAGCACCTCAAACCAACTTATGTTGAGTCCGGGAAGTGCTCCTTTATAAAAGTTCTTTATAACATGTGAGTAAATGTTGGGGTTTTATTTGGGAAAATAACAACAAAAGCTTTCAGCGGACATAAAAGCAGATGGCCGGAACTGGAAAACATTCTTGAAGACTGGGTGAACACACAAAGGGCAGACGGCCAAGGTGTTTCCACTGTGCAGATCATTACTAACAGGCATGTTTTGTGTGCAGTTTTTACTTTCTAATCATCCGGGGCTTATTAATGCTGTGTCAGCACTGTTATTTTCTTCTAAACATGCATGCAAATTACCGGTAATAACGTGTCAGTGCTGTTTTTATTTTATAACCATCCAGAAATATGAATGCTATCAGTGCTGTTTTCTTTTCTAAACTTGCAGGCAGTTCACCCGTGTTTAAAATTCGAAAAACTTCCGTGTAGCGTCTTTCTGTCTAATTATCTTATGTCGCGGCCATACATGCGCTGTGCACCAGAGACCTGCATGTGGCTGCTGTGCAGCGGCGTGTATTCAAGTGTGGCGTGTGTGTGTGTGTAGAAAACCTTATTTTTTTTTGCTGGTGCGGCTTATATTGAGGTGCGCTCTATAGTCCGGAAATTATGGTATGTTTGTTGACGTGGAACAGAACAGTGTATCTCGTTCTGTTAAAGCCAGCAGCAGCAGGTAACATTCATTCAGACTAGAATACAGTGATGCTGTGTGTGTACGCACCTGCGTAAGCAAAGCCCACTGCAGTACTGTTGATTAGACTCGGTGACATCAGCAGGATTGCGACATCAGCTGAAGCAGCAGCGTCACCGGCTGACCTACAGAAGGGAAATTGAGAGACATGAATTTAATGAGTCTTTGGTTGTTTTAATAGGATTTTTAACATCTTCTAATCTCTCTAAGCACAGTTTGAATAAGCACAAAAGTAATCTGTCTTTTTTTCCCCCATTAAAATATTGAGATAGATTTACTGTTCATCTTAAGTCCTTACTTTTAACACAATCAGTTAAAGGTGTGTGTTTCAGACAAACTCTTGAGTAGCATCTCTACTGCATACAGTGAGTTTTCTCTGATCGCTAATGTAGTTGCTTGTGTTTTTGTAGACTAGGAAACAATAGCACAGTAGAAGTGTTTGGTGTCTGTCTGCTTGTTAAAAGCCACATACTGGCCTCTGCTGCCTCTCATTGGATGGTGTGAATTTCGGCAGTCAAACAGGACGGCAGTCGAGTGGAACTTGAGAGATCGGCTCATAAACATGCAGGTTGCTCAGATAGAACCATGGCCTATGACTACATTCATAAAAGATGACACAAATAACTAGTGGGAGTCATAAAAATAGATGGGAGGTGAAGAAAAGTTGGAACAGAAGCTGAAATAGGCCACAGTGTGTTTAGGTAGCTGATATAAGTTTAGTGAAGCTTCTTTACAAGCACTCATTTAACAAATAAAAACACCATTTAGCTTACATACTTGTATCAGTCTTAACAAATACAACAAACAAATTTACAATAAGTTGAAGCTTTTAACATTATGAGCTTCAAGTTTCAGTAAACATCCTTCCTTTTACATATCCGGTATTCACAGGTCAGAGCTGCACCCAACAGCAAAACACCACACTGCAGTTGTTGTTTATTTAGAGATTTGCATTTGATATGCATTTGCTGCCAGGTGATGCCCAAGCAGTTGCCCTCTTTATGTAATCCAACCTAAGACCTGAAACCACGAGTCATCAATGAGCAGTGTGACTAAGTGTTAAGGTCAGGTTTCTCCTCAGCGCACAACTCGGCTCCTTTTTGATTTCCCAATCTGCTTTTTTCTGTTGTCATGATGATTTTGATGTTGTTGTTCTGGATACACATGAGGTGTTAGGTGTTGCTGAGCCACATGAGACTTTTCCTTGAAGGATCCGTGTTGCTATACAACCCTATCACCTTTTTTCCAGTAGCAGGAAATGGACATACAGAGGATTCCTCTCTGCACATAAGTTCATAAATATTCTTTTAAAAAGTGCTGTTGTTCCATAAGAAGAGAGTAATGCCTGTTTGTACATTTCATACATTATATACAACTTTTCTTTACATAAATACACTTACAGTGGGGCAAAAAGTATTTAGTCAGCCACCGATTGTGCAAGTTCTCCCACTTAAAATGATGACAGAGGTCAGTAATTTACATCATAGGTACACTTCAACTGTGAGAGACAGAATGTGAAAAAAAAATCCATGAATTCACATGGCAGGATTTTTAAAGAATTTATTTGTAAATCAGGGTGGAAAATAAGTATATGGTCACTTCAAACAAGGAAAATCTCTGGCTCTCACAGACCTGTAACGTCTTCTTTAAGAAGCTTTTCTGTCCTCCACTCGTTACCCGTATTAATGGCACCTGTTTGAACTCATTATCTGTATAAAAGACACCTGTCCACAGCCTCAAACAGTCAGACTTCAAACTCCACTATGGCCAAGACCAAAGAGCTTTCGAAGGACACCAGGAAAAGAATTGTAGACCTGCACCAGACTGGGAAGAGTGAATCTACAATAGGCAAGCAGCTTGGTGTGAAAAAATTAACTGTGGGAGCAATTATCAGAAAATGGAAGACATAAAGGCCCACTGATAATCTCCCTCGATCTGGGGCTCCACGCAAGATCTCAAACCGTGGGGTCAAAAGATCATGAGAACGGTGAGCAAGAATCCCAGAACCACACGGGGGGACCTGGTGAATGACCTGCAGAGAGCTGGGACCACAGTAACAAAGGTCACCATCAGTAACACACTACAACGGCAGGGAATCAAATCCTGCAGTGCCAGACGTGTTCCGCTGCTGAAGCCAGTGCATGTCCAGGCCCGTCTGAAGTTTGCCAGAGAGCACATGGATGATACAGCAGAGGATTGGGAGAATGTCATGTGGTCAGATGAAACCAAAGTAGAACTTTTTGGTATAAACTCAACTCGTCGTGTTTGGAGGAAGAAGAATACTGAGTTGCATCCCAAGAACACCATACCTACTGTGAAGCATGGGGGTGGGAACATCATGCTTTGGGGCTGTTTTTCTGCTAAGGGGACAGGACGACTGATCCGTGTTAAGGACAGAATGAATGGGGCCGTGTATCGTGAGATTCTGAGCCAAAACCTCCTTCCATCAGTGAGAGCTTTGAAGATGAAACGTGGCTGGGTCTTCCAACACGACAATGATCCCAAACACACCGCCCGGGCAACAAAGGAGTGGCTCCGTAAGAAGCATTTGAAAGTCCTGGAGTGGCCTAGCCAGTCTCCAGACCTCAACCCCATAGAAAATCTGTGGAGGGAGTTGAAAGTCCGTGTTGCTCGGCGACAGCCCCAAAACATCACTGCTCTCGAGAAGATCTGCATGGAGGAATGGGCCAAAATACCAGCTACTGTATGTGCAAACCTGGTAAAGACCTATAGTAATTGTTTGACCTCTGTTATTGCCAACAAAGGTTATGTTACAAAGTGTTGAGTTGAATTTTTGTTATTGACCAAATACTTAATTTCCACCCTGATTTACAAATAAATTCTTTAAAAATCCTGCCATGTGAATTCATGGATTTTTTTTCACATCCTGTCTTCCACAGTTGAAGTGTACCTATGATGAAAATTACTGACCTCTGTCATCATTTTAAGTGGGAGAACTTGCACAATCGGTGGCTGACTAAATACTTTTTTGCCCCACTGTACTATAAAGCTGCAAAAACTTTATTGAATAATTTAATTAAATGAACTATTTAATTTTTACTAATAAATTACAATAGATTTTTTCTAAACATGGATGCTTAGATTTAAATTTTGGAATAAAAAATATGTATCAACTATATTTATTACATTTAAATGTTTATAAACTTAGTTTTGAGCTCTACTGTATATAAAACAGACTCTTGATAAATTGAAGAAATCTCAATATTATGTTTAAATAAACATTACCTATCTGGGCATTAAGTCTTCTGTATCTTTCTAAACTATCAGCTGGAAGGATGGATGTGTGTAATTCTGGTTCATGTCCGTTGACCACGGTTAGTGTTAGCACCTCCAACAATATGGAATTGTTATGGTTACAGATAAACTGCTAAAAGTACGCCAATTATCAGGTTTATTTAAGTCAAAAAATTATTCCTGCATCATGCAAAACATTCATATAAAATTTTGACATTGGGAATTTTGCAAAGGGAGAGATGCCAGGAAAATGCATAGAGTGAAACTGTTTGCCTGTTCACCGTCAACATGTTGCAAAAGATGTTTTTAAGCATTCAAAGTAATTTGGTTTTCTTCCCTGTCCATGGCACTAGTGAGCCGTCATACAATTTCCTCATACTGCTCTTGTCCCCGATTGGTCCGCACGCTTGGCCCCGCCCCTTTAGCGGCAGGATTTACCGCAGCCTGCCGCCCGCAGCAGCAGAAAGAAAGTAGTACGGAGCAGATGGTGGAGCACCTGCCCCCACACGGCGAGCGTTAAGTGTGTCCGCGTCCCTCCCGGTTCTTTGTGTTTTGATCCCGGTTTTCGTCTCTTTATGCTGAAAACCGAGACCCTTCATTCATAATGTCGTGATGCGCGTCACGAACAAAAAGTGTGAAACTACGCCAGAGTTTCTGCGTTTGGAAAAACTCCTGCTTTGCGCACTTCAGAGGAGTAAAGATCTCCACGTTCCAGCCGTGAGAATCCTCAGCAGCAGCCCGCTCCTGCACGCCCTCTTCCGCCTCCGGAGCACGATGCCTCCCGGTGTGGTGACCGCCCCGCGCAGCTCCTCGGTCGGCTGCTTCTGCGCCTGCTGCGGGGGGAAGATGAGACCCCATTTAACCGAGAACTCCGTCATCTCTCAGAGGGAAATCTATCAGCTGTGAGTTCATTGGATCAAGGCTTGCTGCATGAAAGATTTTTGATGTAACCACCACTCCCTTCATATTGTTTTCATCTGGATAAGTTTCCCGGTCTGCTCTGGTGACTGTAATTCCAGCGCTCGTGCGTGACAGAAGCATGTGGTTTCGCTGGTGACTAAATTAGGAGGGATATTGCAGCACAGAACAGAAACTGGGCGATGAGTAGCTGCAGGAAGAGGCTTTATAAGAAATGTATTTTCCAGATGTTTCACCTGCTGCTCACATGCATTCCCCCACATGCATCTCCGTTATTATCATAATGTCTGCTGTGCCTGAAATGCATCTTTAGGGGGCACAGGCGAGCAGGGCACATCATGTACCTTAGACAGTTTCTACAGAATGTGATTAATTTGTCCGGGCCTGCATCTGCAGAAATATTGAGGTAGACACAGTTTTATTATCTGCCAGTTGAATAAGATGGGTGGAGTTTTGTTCAGACTCTGCAGTTTTAGTAGAGGGCGTCTTGGGTTGTATGCAAAGTTGTTGTAACCACAAGCTCAATTCCAACATTAATTGTTCTGTTTGTTTAGAGGAAGTTCCTGTAGGTGTTGCCAGTGTCGGCATTTATCATGGGGGCAGGTGTTTTTGAGCCAGGTTGGCCTTTCTTCATTTGTCTAATTCCTGACACCTGTTCCAGTTTCCAGTCTTCCCTTCTGTAGTTTGATCCTTACAGTCACATTCCAGACTTCCTGTCTCTGTTCCTTCCTCAGCTTTGACCAACTTGCACCGTCTCTGTCAGTAACAAATGTGGATACTCGGTGACCCTTACGTTTTGTTGGAAAATCTGCTTTCTTAATCACAAAGCACAAGGAAAGTTTCACGTCATTATCGGGTTACCCCCAAGATTTCAAGCTTGTTCTTAACAGTTACAACACCCAGATTCGACCGTAATATTAAAACACTCTAAATCACAGGAATGCATTGGGAATTTTAGGTTTATAACATAATTCTATTGTTCACAGAGAAGTTGTGCCAAGTAGCTTAGCTTGAGCGAACCGACACATTAGCTAATACTTTTTAAATAAATCAGTGTTTTGAGAAAGTTTAGTAAATTTGTAGTTGCGTATTTATTTTCTGAACATATAATAAAGTCAACATGTCGCTGAAAGCAGCTCTTTTTAGTTGCATTTTGCACTGTTGGGTCTCTTGATCACCAATCCTCCCTTTGGTTTGCACGAGGCTTTTTAAAGATGTTTCGGGATTTTCTACATAAACATGAAACCAAATCAGCATTTCAGCAAGTATTCAAAAGCGGACATTTAATAAATTATTAATTTATTATCTGATATAATTGGGAAATGATTAAAAACGCACCAGACAAGCCCATTTAGATTTGTAGAGAACTATGAAAAATGCTAAATTAAAAAACTTGCTATTATGTTTTTGTGTTGATTATATTTTAATTTAATGGAGAGAAAAAAAACATTGAAAATTTTTCTTTTGTCGGGCATAAAGCACCTATCTCAGCTCCTGTTTTAATTAATTTCTACAAGGAAAAGAAAAGTCTAATTATTACATTTGCATTTATAAGGTCGTACAAACAAATATTTCATTTTGTGAGGCCTCATCAGGCATTAGTTGGGATTTATGTGAAACAAAAAATAACAGGTTTTTGACTTCTTGGTTCCTTATATCATCAGATTCACAGAAAAATGTCTGGTTAATAACTTGTGATAGTTACTTGAAGCTGTAAATATTTACCAGACTGATTTTAAAGATGCTCGTCACTGTTTTTTCTGTCTGTGCAGCATCAGTGAAAGTTTCCTGACAGTTAAAGGAGCTGCTCTCTTCTTACCTCGAGGAAATGGCTCCTCCCCTTCATCAGCTTCTCGGTTCTCCCAGCTGCGAAGTAAACATGCAGGTGAGGTGAAATGCGCAGCCTCAGGACTGCTAGTTGTGTTGTTTGTGTGAATGGGTGATTGACTAATTGTGTTGTAAAGTGCCTTGGGGGGTTCCAGGACCCTAAAAGGCGATGTATCAAATACAGGCCATTTTTATATATTATTTGCTAAATAAAGTGGAACTTTTGCATCTCAACAGGAGACATCCAGCAGCATCTGCAGACCATGTTCACCCTCCTCAGACCGGAGGACAACATCAAGCTGGTAGGTACACGTTCAAACACGTAACTCTGTTCAGATTGTCTGTGAGCTGTCCGTTCACCACCTGGGTATTGTTCCTCCAGGCGGTCCGTTTGGAGAGCTCCCACGCTCAGGTGACCCGCTACATGGTGGTGGTCTCAACCGTCGGGCGTCAGGACACAGAGGAGAGCGTGGTGCTGGGGATGGATTTCAGTCCAGTAGATGGGTAAGCCGGTGATGCACACAAACCTGTGTCCTCCTACCAGTTTGGTAGCACACATGAAGCTGTAACAGAGAAATGTGCTCACCTTTCAGCTCGTGTTCAGTTGGGTTGGTTTTGCCTTTATGGAGCGACACCTTGATCCACCTGGATGGAGACGGGTAAGAGCAGCAGCAGGAAACTCTAAACACGAGTTGGAAAAGATGGCTGACGGTTTCCTTTTTGTCTTCAGAGGATTCAGCGTGTCAACTGATAACAGGGTGCATGTATTCAAGCCTGTGTCTGTGCAAGCCATGTGGTGAGTCATGCTGCATTAATAAAAAAATTTATATTTGTTTTCATCCTCAGAAATAATCCTCCCACTTTCCCGTCTTTAAACACACGTTCCTCTCGTTGACAGGTCGGCCCTACAGTCGCTGCACAAAGCCTGTGAAGTGGCTCGCTGCCACAACTACTTCCCTGGCAGCTTGTTCCTCACCTGGGTCAGCTACTACCAGAGCCGGGTCTCATCCGACCAAGCCCGCATCAACGAGTGGAACGCCATGCAGGATGTCCAGTCACACCGCGCCGACTCACCCGTGCTCTTCTCTGATGTGTAAATATCAATTTTTTTCAATAAAATAATGAAGATTTTGTGGGTTTTTGAAGAATATTTTCGCATTCAACCTTTGAATGTCGCAGACCTACAGAGAGAGAGCTGACAGAGCGGCAGATAAAAACCAGCCTGAGGGAAATCATGATGCAGAAAGACCTTGAGAATGTCACCTGCAAAGAGGTGAGTTTCGCTGCTGGTTTTGAGGTCATTCAAGCAGATGATTCCCATTTTTTACATGAAACTCGAGTCGCCTCTGACAGGAATGGCTGTTGTTCTGACCTTTCTCTGCCTGGATGCGTTTATAGATCCGAACCGAGCTGGAAATGCACATGACCTGCAACCTGCGAGAGTTCAAGGAGTTCATCGACAACGAGATGATTGTCATTCTGGGCCAAATGGACAGTCCTACGGAGATCTTTGATCATGTCTTCCTGGTAACTTAAAGACTTCACAAAGCTTTATTTTGACACCAAATAGTAAAGTCTGCCGTTGCCTTTCAAACAAGTTTGTGCTCAAGAAGCGGAACAGTCTCATGGTTTTGTGTAATTCTAACATGCGCCCAATTTTAAGGAGTTTTAGCCTTGTTTGGATTGGAGCTTACTTTATATCATGCGCGTCTTGCTGTGGGATTAAAGAATGATGAAAGTCTTAGTAGAACATTTCTGAGGATTGCTTTTGTTTCCTTTAGGGATCCGAGTGGAATGCTTCCAATTTGGAGGAGCTGCAGAAGAGCGGGTGAGGAAGAATAAGAACACCATTACACCGATGATTAATTCTTCTCATTAAACAAAATGAAATGTTCACGGAGCAAGTATATGTTGTGAACAAGCTCAGCTTCTAACTCTGCTGCTTCTGCCGCTCAGGGTTCAGTACATTCTGAATGTAACCAGGGAGATCGATAACTTCTTCCCTGGCGTGTTTGAGTATCACAACATCCGCGTTTACGACGAGGAGGCCACGGATCTTCTTGCTTATTGGAACGACACCTTTAAGTTCATATCCAGAGCAAAGTGAGTTCATTACAACTTTATTTTTTTGTTAAAGGCAGAAATGGGTGACTAAATAGCACATGTAGCAATTTGCAAATGAAGCTGTGTAATGGCTAAAGTCTCTGTGTGTGTGCTGCAGGAAATCTGGATCCAGGTGTCTGGTGCACTGTAAAATGGGAATAAGTCGCTCTGCAGCCACCGTGATCGCGTATGCCATGAAGGAGTTCGGCTGGGATCTGAAAAAAGCCTTTGATTATGTGAAGGAGCGTCGAACTGTGACCAAACCCAACCCTTCGTTTATGAGACAGCTGGAGGAATATCAGGGCATACTCCTGGCCAGGTAAGCTTCACCGGTTAGCTGATGAGTTCAGACATAGGTGTTTTAATCTGTGGTTTCCAAACAACTGATTTATAGAAGTAAAAACATGTCCTTTCCCCCTGCAGCAAGCAGAGGCACAACAAACTGTGGCGTTCTCACTCTGATAGCGACCTGTCTGAGCACCACGAACCTCTGTCCAAGTCCTACGCCCAACCCCACAGCCTAGGCCGCTCAGACCCCCACAACCAGGCCAGCAGCATGCTGGGTCCGTCAGTCAAAGAACTGCTGGAATCACTGGGAAGTTCAGCAAGCACTGGAAAAGAATCGCACTCTAAGAGCCAGCCTGACACCGGCGTCTATTCCAGCCATCTTGGCTCTTCTTCCTTCGGAGGGGCAGCTGCTCTATCAGGTGACGCTGTAGCTCAGAGCCTCAAGGGCCCCCCTCATGCTGATAAAGCCCCCAGCAGGCAGCTGGACTCCTCCACTGCTGGTTCTGTGTCTTCGTCTCCTCCTCTCTCCAATGGCCTCTCTGACTCGGAGGAGCAGCCCTCATACCCTCCCCTCTCCCAGCCAAAGGCTGCCACGGTGGTGCCTGAACCCCAGAGGACAGAAATAACTGTTGCACAAAGCATTTTGGTGGGTCAGCCTCACCCTCCCCCATCTGTCCACCACCTCCCCCTTTCTCCCCCATCATCCCCTGCTCCGGCATGCAGGGGCGAAGCTGTCAGACCGGAGGTGTCATGCTCAGTCAGCGACCAGCAGACTCCCGGGTCGTCTTTAGGCGGCGCGTTGAGCCACCCTCCGTTCTCTACTGACTCTTTGAGCCTTTCCAACGTTCCTCCGCAGGACAACGTGCTGTTGTTTGGACATAGTGCCGATCACATCAACTTTTTTAGTGCCAGAGAAAAGTTCAAGGGAATGAGTGATGATGGCAAGCCTCACCCCGCTGCAGCGCAGCAGCCCACTCTCCTGAAGAGTGCTGCTAAAGAGCAGCTGCCGCTAACTCAGGAGGTCCCAGATGGTGAGGTGAAGGAGGAAGAGAAAAAGCAGGTAACTAACAAGTAAATCATTTCATCTGATATTTCTGACCATTACGTTCTCACATGTGGCACCTAGTGGATAATGGGTTGAATCTTGTTGTATTTTCCATTCTTTTGTAGGAAGTGCTTGTTCCTGTGCAGGTCACGGGAGTGAAGCCTACAGAGACACTCGGCCAACAAGACCCGCTAACCCCCCCCCACAGCCAAGAACTGACAAAGCCCAAGCAGGAAGTGGAGGAACAAGATGTTTGTTCACCGAAGGAAGTGAAAACTAAAGATGACGAGGAAGCGGCGCCTGCCCCTCGTCTCTACAGCGATTGGACGAGGGGGTCCGTGCGGCGTGTCACCCAACAGCTCGAGCAGCGAATGAAACAAGAACACGAGGCGCCAACTCCCTCCTCCTCTCTGCCGTCCCTCTCTGGTTACACCAACCATCAGCGGCGTCCTAACAGCATTCATTCTACAACCGTGTCACCACCACAGGACGCATCAGCTGCTGGCAGTGGGAGGGGGGGTGAGGATGGCACGTTTAGACCAGCTAATGAGGGGAACACTCAGGTAAATGAGACGGGGGTCCCTGTGCCTAACGACAAAGGCACAAAAGGAGACGATCTCCAACCTGACGATGCCAGATCATTCTCTACCTCGCTACCTTTGTCTACCCAATCTCCGTTTGCCTCCGTCAACTTCCTTTGTCTGGAGGGCGTGACTGAATTGGAGTCGAGCGTAGACTGGGACGGTTTCACAGAAGGATCCCGCAGTCAGATCATCATGAGGGACACATGGGAGACTCTGTGCGAGTTGGGGGCCTTCCTGCACCAAGTGAGCATGGCAGGAGCCTGCAAGTCCAGGCGTATAGGCCAGGCGTTGGGAACCGCTCAGAAACGAGGAAGCAGGTTCCAGAAAAAGGCTAGAGAAGTGGAGGCCAGGATTCGCCAGGCAGGTCTAACCCCTCCTTCTCTGATGAAGCGCTCAGCCTCACTGGCCAAACTCGGCTGCTTGGAGCTTCTTCCCAATGATCTGAGCGAGTGGGAGCTCGGCTGCTCTGCTGTGGCTCCGCCCTCGGCACAAGCCCCAGTCAACGACGAGTCCAAGAAGCAGCGGGTCCACAACTCCCCTTCCTCTGGCAGCAAGCAGCCTGAAGGGGTTGAGCTTACTCCCGCGAGGCTTTCTAAAGCCGGAGAAGGTTTACCAGGAATTTCAGAACCCTTGAATTCAAATCCACATAGAGAAAAACTCCAAAACACCAGTCAGGACTCTCTGCTATCTCCTGTACCAACACTTCTGACAACAAGGCAACAATATGGAAGGACTCACCCTCTGAGGCAGCTTAAGAAAAGAACTGTTAGCACCCTGTACCACACCATGTAAGGCTGCGTGTCTGTCTGTGAGAGAGGATCACGTGCATATGTTTGTTCAGATAAACAAAAATGCCTCTTGCCTTAAAGAATTTCTTTAGTCGTTTTTTTACGTTTTCCCTTACAGGTCCTTCAAGAACCCCAGAAATCTGTGAAATCAGAGCAGTGACAAGGCTGTGAAGGTTTCATTGAACTGAAAGTGAGAGTTAGTCCAAAAACTGCGCTTTACACACTTGTTTTGATCTAGGATACGCCTGAGCCTGTACACACTCACTGCAAACATCATCGCTGGTTTCTTTTCACTCGATCCCTGTTCTGTGCAGTGTTTAGTCTTTATTCTCAGCGGATACCTGCTGGTTATGTTGCGGCGGTAGCTGGGATGTAAACTAAACAGATGAACTGAGACTTAAACGGGCCGGTTTGGGTTCAGTTAATTCAAATTTGGCAGAGCATTTCCTTGTTGAGCAACTGATGCTGCAGATTTGTGACTTCCTGTAAGGGAAAGGTGAATCGAGGATGAGATTAAATGGTTGTTTAGAGTAAATGAAAAGAAAGAAGGAATGTTTCCTTTTATTATTTCAGCCTCTCTGGTTTGTTAGAATGTTCTCCTCAGTCTGAAGTAATTTTAATGACATTGCTTAATAAACTGGAACAAACTGATGCGCGTCTTCAGTTGTGATGCCACTCAAAGTGGATTTTTATTTTTTACTGCAACAGTAGGTTTGGGGGCTAAAAGTTAAAGGCAGAGTGTGTGTTTGTTTCCTGCTGTTTCCTTTGGCTTGTAAAGGTTCATTGTGAGTGCTGTATTTTTGTTTTTACATGTTTTTTGTTTTTTTTAATCTTTTTGTCCAGATTTTAGGAGTGTGCCTCTGACTGGCAAGTGAAGCTTCTCTGCAATCAGAAATGTCTGCACAGGGACGTCTGTCATCCATGCACTTTACTCCCGTTTAAAATTTTAAACTTATTTTCTTTTATTCAGGATGCTAGTGTAGGTGTTGGGTATGTGTGTGTCCATTGTAAACAGCATTTTTGTTTTAAAGTCATTGTAAATATTCTTTTATATTATGTGCATCAACTGTGACCATTAAACAATGGAGATTTAAGAACCGGGAGTGTTTGATCGGATTAAATGGTTTCATTAGATTATTTGCCTATAAAATATAAATGTTCATATATTAGTTTACTTGAAACTTGTTTTTTGCAAAAGGAAATTTTAGTTCAGATGATGAAAGTTCAATCTTTGTAAAAACTGATAAAAAGCATCTCTTAAGATTAAGAACAGCTGCTTGCAAATCCAAGAAAAATCTCCCAGCTGGTTCTTAATTAGCATCAAATTCTCGTGTAAGAAGAATAAAGCAGGCCAAACGTTTAATTTCACATAGAGAAAAATGTTTTTGGAAGTTTGAGAAGTGAATTTTTTTTTCAATCTTCTAAATAAATAAAAGTTCCCCTATATATTTTGCATCAGCATTGATCATTAAATACGCATCTATATTGTACTGATTTTAGACTTTTGGGTCCATCCGTCTACGCATGTTTTGAAAGTTGGATTACCTCATATTTTAATTGTCATTTAATTTTTCTTTTTACATTTCCTGCTCCGGTACAGCTTGAATGAAACTAATCCCTTGCTCCATGTGAAAAACCTGCTTTCAACCATTTCAATTAGGTCTGTTGAAGCAAGGGCACATCTAAAGTCTGCAGGAAGGTGCTCTGGACTGGAGATGGTGACACCTGCATTATAAAATAAAACCAACTTAATAACTGGTTTTCTAAAAAAAAGATCGTTTAAAATCGAGGTGAAGAAGAACATTAGCTGAGTTAGAAAGCAAAGGTGAGAGAATCCAAAGGGGTGAAATGTCTTGTCTGTTTTCGGCTTCTGCTTTTTCTGAGCATTTGTCCTCCTCTTGTGATTTTTTGTTGCCACTACAACAAGCGCGTGAAAAAAGATTTAGGGGTTTTGAGATGGGTTTTATCTTTATCTTATTAAAACAGTGTTTTAAAAATATAATGTGAATTAGTCACATTAAAGTCACTACAATCATAACATTTGAAGATTTGATTGAGAATGATCTGTCAGAATCAGAAAAAATGGTAATTTTTGTTTCTGTTTGGGAAAAAAACTTTATTTTTTTACATTTGTGCTTTTTTTTTTTTTAAAACGGTTTTTAATTATCCATAATAAATTTCATATTTCGTGATTGGCCTACTTGTTAAAAGTCATTGGCATCTAGCACCTCCGTGAACGCGCACCGTATCAGCAGCGCGCTTCCAAAATAGACGGGACCCCACCGCGCCCCCTCTCCCTTTTCCCTGCCGAGAAGCGTCACGCAGTTTTCCAGAGTCCGCTCCGACTCCAGGACACCGGATCGCAGGGAATATAATTCACCAGTAAAAAACATCAAGAAAGGGAGGAGGCCACACCTAAGCAAGCAGCTGTTAAAGAAAGAGGGGTCTCCCCAAAAACCTGAGGTGAGCTGATCTGTGCCCAAATATGCGTGTGTGTGTGTGTGTGTGTGTGTGTGTGTGTGTGTGTGTGTGTGTGTGTGTGTGCTGCAGTGGCGTGAACGGTGCGCCAGCTTCTGCTGGAAATGACTTTCAAAAGCTCACTAGATCAAAACCGTTATAATAAAGAAATAAAATCTACTCTAATCCCAACACCGTGACTGTGCACTTCACCCCTCTTCTCCACAGGAGCAGGTCTTGAGTTGTACACAGCAGCTGTGCGCGTTATGACTGACCTCACGCGTCGCGCGCCCCTGAGAGTTATGTTCCGATGTTTATACGTATTTATGTGCGCTGTTCTCAGCGGCAGTTTTAAATTTACACTTGGTTGATCAGCGATGAAGTGTCACAGAGTCCGCCGCCTTGTTTCTAGGACCATTTTGGACCGTGGAGGCGGGTGGGAGGAGCGGCCGGTCCGGGTGGGACGCAGCAGTTTGTCATGTCTATATTAGGAAAGTGGCAGTGTCATTCTTTCTCCTCTGGGCCATGAGCGCCTCATCAGCCTGTGGAGAAAGGAAAGGGGCAGCCTGCTTCTTATTATAATAAACTTTACATATTCCCCCACAATGATTCTTGAAAACTTCACCAAATGCTTTGTTAACTTAAATTGATGCAGTTTTCATTTTGCACAGAACATGTTTCAAGTTTAAAGCATGCAGGATAGGAGATAAGTGATGTTAGTAACCTAAACTGTTTCAGTTTTTCTATTTTTTCAAGAGGAGAATGCAGCATTTATCGGCATCAGTTTATATCGGTGTCGGATATTAAAAGTCAGCAATATCAGTTTATTGGACATTGGAAAAAAACCAATATTGAGCATCGCTAATTTAAAGGTAAAAATGTCTTAAGCTACCTTTTTAATATTAACAACCCCATCCACCGCCATGTATTTATCACTAGCAACTTACTGTGTATTACTTGTCTTTGTTTTTGTTATCTAGAATCTTCTGGTGATGAGCCGTAACTGGCACAGCCATCAAACCCAAAGACCATAAGTGAGAGAGTCACTTGTTTGTTTTGAAAATAGACTGCAGTACCCACATTTGACCACAGGATGTCCTTCTTACATCATGCACTTTTACATGTATTTCAATTTTTAGTTTGTAATTTCAACAATAGATTAATAGCAGTTTCTTAACAGTTGTTTTAGATACAATGGTTTCACAATAAGTATCAAAATATTACTTTGCAAAAAATACATTGACATCTGAGTAAAAGTGTTTTTTTCTGCATCTCTTTGCAACTTCAAATAAATGTAATCCACCTCTTGTATTTAGCTAAATTATCACTAAACAATCCAAAATACTTCTGCCCTCAGCAGGGGTCCACAGGGAGGTCCAAGCTTGCTGTAAAGGTGGCACTGGCCCACCCTGGACCCCTCCTAGAGCTTTGGTCCCTGAATGCCACCCAGCTGCTAACAGGAATGTAAACCTAAGCTTCTAGGAAAGCAGCAGAAGCTTCTGTCATGTACCCACTGGTCTCTGAGGTCACTTTTGGGTTACGTTCTATTAAAGTTCAATTAGACCTTCAGCTTCAGCTGGTTCTTCTCTGACTATAAAAAGCGTTTGAGTTTTCTTGCATTCACCGGACCTCCCCAAAAAAACTGCTTGGGCCTTATTCATACACCGATTGAACGTTCCCTGCCACCTTTTCTGTGCTCTGGGATTTACTGGAGTTCGCCTTTGAGGCTTTGCTCATGCATTAGTCTCTGATGGGGCAATCAACTATTAATATCTACTGATGGCAGGCATTGTTATATAATATAGCCGGTGTTTTTGAAGATTACTGTAAGGACAGCAATCTGTCAGTCCATAAACAGCCTAAGAAATGTTAAGAGGTTCATATTTACAGATAGTTATTCAACGCTGCTTCAGTTTACAAACAGTTGTCAAAACAAAAAACACTCTTGATTAAACAGGTAGTAATCAAATGTAGAATTCACTTTATGGACTGTATCAATAATCATCAAATGTTTAATGATGTCATTGAACATCCTGAATGTTACTGTTTTATTTGAACTATTTAAATCCCTAATTTTAATCATGTTTTTTAGTGTTTCATCAAAAAGTTCTCTTTTTCTCCTATTTTCTGCCTGTGGCCTCCTCTTCCTCCTCCTCCTCAGCCATGAGTCGCAGCATTGTGCGGCAGAGTAAGTTTCGACACGTCTTTGGCCAAGCGGTCAAGGCAGATCAGTGTTACGACGACATCCGGGTCTCCAAGGTGACGTGGGACAGCTCCTTCTGCGCCGTCAATCCAAAGTTCTTGGCAGTCATCGTTGAATCCAGCGGAGGAGGAGCCTTTCTGGTCCTGCCTGTCCACAAGGTCAGGTCATCTCGTGAGTGAATAAATCACAGTCACAAAATGGAACAAAATGGGTAATTAAAGATCCTGTGTGCTATCATTTCAAAAGCACAGAAAATTCAGCTAGTGGGTTTATGTGTGACAATATTTCCATTCTTATTTCATTATAGTAGTCAAATAAACCGTTTTAAAATGACAATAATTCCAAAACAATCGTTTATTTCCCTCCTCCAAATAAAGTCTTACAGATAAATAGGATTATAATAATACTGAAATAAATACACAATCACACCGTGTGTCTTTCTACCAAACAAGAGCAACAGCAGTCCATATTTTCCAAATTTGAACTTTTTCACATTTTATCCTTAGCTTGTTTGCCAGCTCAAAGCATTTACATCTAAAGTGCAATATTCGATTCCACCAGTAGAAGGCACTAACATGGCATTGAAACAGAATTAGACATCTTGTTTTAAATAATATAATCATATAAAATGAGAACAAATAAACACATTTAACTGCAACAGCTACAGGTCTGATGTCAGCTTTATCTATATAAACCAACACTGAGTGTTTATGTATGAGGGAGTGGGAGAGAGAGAGGAAAGGAGATGCAGTACCTTCTAGCATGCTAGCTAGCTATTTCGTGTGGCAGCAAGGGCGCTATCAGCCAGCTCCCCAATTCAGAGCTGCTGGTTGACAAGGAATTCTGCAGTTTTCCCTAGCAACCAAATGTGATTGGTTGTTAAGCTGCAGTCCAGGAGCACTTTTTCCAGTACCCCAGGATGGATAGTAGTGAATCTGTTGGGGAAATTCACTCTGAATTTGATGAGAGACATCTGGTGAAAATGATGTTTAAATAATTCAGATTGCATGTAGGCACACAAAATTCTTTTTTTAGATTTTTTTCCTCCTTCATGTCAAAGAGGGTGGTAACCTAGCGCCCCCTATGGACAAGCTTCTCTAAAGTTGGGTCTAAAAAAAGTGAAAATAATTATCATCTCTACACTTAAAATTTTAGGTAAATGTAAACAACTATATAATTTATATAAACAACAGAAAGGTAATGTGTGTGAGTCAACTGAAACCTCCTGGAAGAACACATGCCCCATTAATTTCTATGGAAGGGGCGGTGCCTATAAAGCTCCGGGAGTTGACGTCACTTCTCCCGGCATGCAACAGTTCAAATCGAACGGCACCATTTTGGCAGGCAGTAGCCCGCAGCTAGACTATTTGTTATTGTCAGAAAACTCAATTAAACGGGAACTATGGTAGATTCCTGTTGTGCCCCAGGATGCCAGAACAGACGCGGACGAGATAAGGGATGAGCCATCTACATGATTCCCCAAGATCCGGAACGCCGCAAACGTTGGATCATTGCAATAAAACACGCTAGTGACAGGGCTAAAATGAAACTGTGGGATCCTGAGAGTAAAGGTTTATGTTTATGTTTATGTATTTAGCAGACGCTTTTGTCCAAAGCGACTTGCACGTGATAATTGGCACGTTGCCCTTGAGGCTAACAACAACAATAACAACAACAACTTGACATCAATCAATGAGAGGAGGGAACAAGGAGTGGACAGTAGAGAGGGGGGTGGGTGCAGGGAGGGTGCTAGTTTAGAAGATGCTCTCTGAAGAGCAGGGCCTTCAGGAGTTTCTTGAAAGTCGAAAAGGAAGCTCCTGTTCTGGTAGTGCTTGGTAGGTCATTCCACATTTGTGGAACGATGCATGAGAAGAGTCTGGATTGTCCTGAGCGTGGTGTAGGCACTGCTAGCCGACGATCCTGTGATGACCGGAGCGGCCGGGCCGAGACGTAAGCCTTTGCAAGAGGATTCAGGTAGATGGGAGGCGTACCATCTCAGACTTTGTATGCTAGTGTTAGCAATTTGAATTTGATGCGTGCTGCTAGCAGTAGCCAGTGGAGCTCAATGAACAGAGGGCTGACGTGTGCTCTTTTTGGCTGATTGAAGACCAGACGCACCGCTGCATTCTGGACCATTTGAAGAGGTCTCACAGCACAGGCTTGGAAGACCAGTTAGAAGGGCATTGCAGTAATCGAGGCAGGAGATGACAGTAGATTGCACCAGGAGCTGGGTGGCATGTTGTATTAGGTATGGTCCGATCTTTCGTATGTTATACAGCGCAAAGCAGCATGAACGAGCAACAGAAGTAACATGATCTTTAAAGAGCAAGTCACCCCTTACAAGAAGCGTACTCCACTCCCACTTCATGTTTGAAAAATGCAACAAATGCTGTTGCCTAGCAGACTGAGAGGGTGGAGCCACTAACAAATACACACACTCACGACATTGTGACATCATAATGTACCAGTTTACATCATAGCATATCTCCTAGCCAATAGCAGTGGCAGATTTAAATTCAAATGCAGTGCAGAGTTTTTACCTGACAACGGCACAACACTGCCAGTTTCAGGCAGAAAATTTAAATTATAACTAAAACGCACTAAAGTGAAAAACTATTGACTACACGTGTCTGCAGCACGATTAGACACATATTTATATAGTTTATCAGAAGAAAATAGTTGATTTGGCGGTGACTTGCTCTTTAAAGGTCAGGTGTTCATCAATCACAACACCCAGATTTTGAACTGCCTTTGAAGGAGCCAGAGATAGGAAGTCATTTTGGATTGAGATATTGTGCTGTATGGATGGTTTTGCTGGGATGACAAGTAGTTCAGTTTTAGAGAGGTTGATTTGGAGATAGTGTGGTCGTCCGGTGGAAATGACAGATAGAGCTGGGTATCGTCTGCATAGCAGTGGTAGGAGAAGCCATGTGATCGAATGATCTCATCCAGTGAGGTGGTGTATATGGCTTATGCAGCGACCACTTCATATCAGGTACTTAAACAAAGTTTCCTCAACTGTGTATGGTATTTATTTTAAATGCTTTTATTACGATTCTTAGTGGGCTTCCTAAACTTATTTTGGTGTGGCTTTTTCTGTCTTATTACACATAGCAACAAGTAAACATCACGTGAAACGTTGCCTAGTGATTTCTGCGTGCTGTCGTTTATGTGTCTTATGATCACAGCAATTAACCAGCTAAGCTGTATTTAATTTTTAAGCAATGGTTGATCAATTGTCAGATCACACATAAAAAGCACTCTGGATTGCTATTATCTGTCTCACCGAGACAGATCTCAGACAGATCCTGAGACTCTCCTGCCTGACATATTTATTGTATTCATAGTGATTTCTCTTGGCGTTCAGTTTATACATTCAAACGGCACATCACTCTATTTAAACTTCTGACATGTAAAATCTATGTTATTTGTGTTTTTGTTGAATTAGTTTTATAAATGATAAATGTCAGGGCTTCTCATATCCGGTAAGAGGTCCGCTCCGACAGCTTCTGGCATTTTTAAAAAGTATCCAAGGGGCATGGTAAGGGTCGGAAATGTTTAGTCTATTTAATTTCTGACTATATAAAATGATTTCTTCGGTTTTAAAGTGTGAAGTAAACTCCGACGGAGTAAAATCCAAGCCGACCCCATTCCTTTTGTTTACCTTTGTTACCTGCCAACATGGCGTCTACTCTCTGAGAGTCATGTGACGTCCGCAGCTCTATAGGCTTATGCTGCAACTGACCTCAGGGTGGGGCCCTCTTTGTTTCTGCAATAACTTTTAATTTAAATGTTAGGTTATTACATAAATGTGTCATAGTGGTTGATACAAAAACTTAAGCTTATCTGACACTGGTAAGACAACATTTTTTTAATTATGTTGTAATAGTTTATTTTACCATTTTTATTTTCTTAGAAGTTGAATTAGCAGCTAATTTTTATTTTAGGATGAAATGTGAAACATTGAACTGTTTAAGCTCTTTTAATGAAGTACTGTTGTATCATAAACTATTAGTATTTTTCCAGGAGTAGTTACAAGTGTCTCATAAAGGAGGTGAATAAAATCAGAACATTGTAGATTGTGCACAGTGGTTTAATATTTGTTTTTTTACAGTTTTAAATCAGTTCTGATCTGCAGAGCTTCTCTGAAACCCCACCTCTTAGCAGGTTTCATTTGAGTCAGCCTCCACCAGTCACAGCCTAGTTTTATGTCTGTCGTGTAAAAAACGTTTTAGAAATATTACACATTTTCATTTTGAACTATTTTTGAACGCATGAGGACAAAAGTTGTAGCATTAATGGACAAACTGATTAATGATCTTTTGAGGAAAACATTTTAAAAAATGTCTTCGTAACTGATGCAACAAATTTTAAAGACACAAAGATGTTTTAGAGATACTGAGAAGTTACGGTGAACAGACGAGCTATTTATACTCAGCAGAGCACGGTGCATCCTCCGTCTCCCCCCTGCAGGTCTCCCAACAGGCAGCAAGAAAAACTCCCCTTTCAACGGCTTGTCATCCGAGCTATAAATACACCTAGCTCTGTGCACATGTGTGTGTGTGTGTGTGTGTGTGTGTGTGTGTGTGTGTGTGTGTGTGTGTGTGTGTGTGTGTGCTGATTTTATTTAAGAACCATACATACACATTAACATTAACTTGTGGCATCTTTACTGTATTTTTCTGAGTTTCTAAAACATTCTGAACAAAGATTTTACAAGGTAGCCGAGAGTCATTCCCAACACACATCATGCATAATGTCACTTTCAAAATGTGACAGTAATCAGGTATAATTTCATTATTTATCAGCTTATTGATAGAAATAACTATTTATGATGACTACAAACCCTCACGACGAGTCCTGGATAATTAAAACAACTTTTGTATTTGTGTTCTTCTAACTGGTCCAACTGATGCCTTTTGGTTCTACTTATTTAAAACAACTTTTAACCAATAGATAAAAACTATTTTACATCTTATAAAATGATTGAATTCGAACTAGTTTCTGTTTGAACTACATTGCTGCAGTGATTTCTCTGGGAGGTTTTTCACCCACAGCCATGCCTGTTGGATGTTTGGCTGAAGGTGACTGGAGACAAGCTTATCCTGTGGTCTTTAGCATCTGCTAAACAGTTTAAAGGGGTTCAGAAAGACAAGTCTTAAAAATATGCAATTCTTTATGGAATGACAGGCTTTTGATTTATGAACAACACATTTCTTTTATGTTCTTAATTCCTTCTTTGCTTTCCTCATTAGTAAACAAGGACAACAGGAGTCAGCATTTCTGTTGTTAACAGTTTGAGTGTTTGTTCAGTGTGAAATTTCTCAGTTATTTAGGAGGGAGGATGTGGGATTGTGGACATTTGCTCTTTAATAACAGTATTATTGTTTCAACTTTAATTTACTTTATTGTTATACAAAGTTTGAGATTATGAAGCACAGCTTCATATTCCTGATGCATAAAACAAAAACCCATTCAGCAAAAATATCACAGTTTTGTACACGACAAACAGAAATTTGTTCTTTGCTCTGCAGACGGGTCGCGTGGATAAGAACTACCCGCTGGTTGTTGGCCACTCTGGACCAGTTCTTGATATCGACTGGTGTCCTCATGATGACAACATCCTGGCCAGCTGCTCAGAAGACTGCACGGCGATGGTAATCTCAGAGTGTGAGAGTGTGTGTGTGTGTGTGTGTGTGTGTGTGTGTGAGTGTGTGTGAGAGAGAGAGAGAGAGAGAGAGAGAGAGGGAAGCAGCAAGTACATGCAAAGTAGTTAATCGTGTATTGATTCAGATCCCAGTCTGACTCATCCTCCTGCTTCGTCTGCAGCGTATTTCTAAACATTTTCACTCCATTTTTTTTATCCATGATATTTTTTCATTATTGTCATGCTGTGCTGTCTCATATTAAATGAGCACAAAGTAACCCATAAAAGTTGTGCAGATGTTTTTGCTCGTCACAGTAAAAAGCCAACAGAGGTCACTGTGGAGCTTTATGATTTCACTGCATGACTCCTTAAATTATGTTACCACTGCAGTGCTGAACGATTAAAACAGTTGAAGCATCTTGGAGTTTTATCTAATATTTACTGGAGTGTATCAACAATGAGAGTTCCTTTTGTTTTTCACGTATATGTTAGTTTGTGATTAAGATTTCTTAATTTTCAAAGTGTTTCTGTTATGACACAAACAAAAAGACTTAAGGTGTTGACAAGCAATCAGTGTTTCTCTGGGTTTCTGTGGAAGATCCATGTGCACGAGTCAATATGAGCATGTGCTGTGATGTGATTTTTAGATGTGTAATGATGGCATGTTTCAACACCTGCGCAGCAGGGCTGTCATTGTAGACAGATTTCTCCAGTTGTTCAGACTGATGTCACAGGAATGTGTGTGTGTGTGTGAGTGTGTGAGTTATCTAATGGTTGAATCTCTACTTCTTTGGCAGCTGCTGCATAGACGCTGTCTGAATTTGTAAGCATGTGGTTGTTGATATCGAGCAGCACGGCTGACAGACAGTTGCAGCTGTCTTGGTGTGACTGCAGCAGATTTACACAAAGCCCGAGGTGTGATGTCATCCTCCTCGTTTTACAGAGAGCAGCTCACTGCTGAGTGTTTACCTGAGAGTGAGCCGTGTAGATCAGTGCTCACCTGCTGTAGGAGGAACTTTGAGTCAGTTTGACGCGAAACGGATAACAAATTTGCTGATGTTCTCGAGAAATGTGCAGTTGTCAATTTTTTATTCATATTTTAATGCATGATTGTCTTTATTTATCATTCAGCCTTTAAAAAACAGAAACTTACAGCTGCTTTTTAAGTTTATACTCCGTGCAGATCAGAGTAGGTAACACGGTATCCTCTCCAGGTGTGGCAGATCCCAGATCACACACTGACCCGTCCCCTGTCCGACCCCGTTGTCGTTCTGGAAGGACACTCCAAAAGAGTGGGCATCGTCAGCTGGCACCCTACCGCACGGAACATCCTGCTCACTGCCGGTATGGATCCTATTCACAAACACATCCCCTCCCCATAAAAAAATAATAAAATTTAAAAAAGTCCAAGTCTTCTTCTAAGACAGACTTTAGTTTTCCTGTCGTTTTTGCCCTGCAGGCAGTGATAACCTGATTATCATCTGGAACGTGGGGACAGGAGAACCTCTCCTCTCCATGGACGACCATCCAGACCTCATCTACAGCATCAGCTGGAACCGAAACGGCAGCTTGTTCTGCACCACCTGTAAGGATCGACGGCTGCGTGTGTGTGACCCCCGCAAGAGGGAAGTTGTGGCGGTGAGTGGGCAGCAAATGCAAAAAGATTTATAAAAGGCAATTGCATGAATTATGACATTTTCAACCATGGTTTTTTTAAACAAATTTTTTCATTCATCTTTAGGTGTGAATGAAACGAATTTCAACAAATATTTTTTGTAACATTTAATCATTTACAAATAATTAATTACATGTCCACCTCAGTGGACAGCGTGCATTCTGAACATGAAATATGTTGGCTTGACTTACTGAAGTCCAAATGGGGGTGGGGGCTCAAATGCAATAAAGTCTTCAACAGCTGTGCTTAATTGCAAAAAAAAAAAAAAAAAAAAAAAAAAAAAAAAAAAAGTAAAAAGTACTATTTTGAGTACCTGTCCACTGTAGTGACCATTATTCATCAAAGTTTCATCTCTAAAGGCAGCAGAGTAGTTCTGAAGTTTCATGAAAGCACAGTTAGGGAACTGGTCTACTCTGGATTTCTTCATCTTCAAAGAAACAATCAGATTATTTAAAGTGCAGTTTTGTAAAATTTTGGGTATATTCTGTATTGTTGTCTTTTTGCACAACCTCAGTTTGTTTGAAAAAAAGAAATAGATTATTTCTGACCAAACAGACGGGCTGACAGCTAATCACGTCGGGGTCGAGAACAAAGTAGATTGCTGCTGTCTTAAGGTCACTTTAAAACTTGAAATTTCATTTTATTTCATAAGAACTTTGCACAGCAGCAACATTTTTATTTTTTTGCCATTCCAGCAGAATTATCATGACATTGTGACTGAAAGTGCTACAGTTAGGTAGCTACAACACACTCTTGTTTTTAATTAACTCAGTTTTATTTCTTATCTCGGTCTAAGATCAATCTCCTGTCTTTAAACCAATGTAAGTAACTGCATTATGCAAGATTTATAACAATGTTTACAAAACATGAACTAAATGTGAATTATTTTAATCCACTTTAGTTCCAGCCAAGCTGTGACTCGAGCCCTGGTTCTTGAATATGAAGTCATTCTAAGAGCTAGCTAGAAGCGTACTGTTCACCTACCACTTTTAGTGATAGTTAATTGCTGTTGTTTTATTTAATGTAGTTATGTTGTTCATTGTATGTTTGTTTATCTGTGAAGCCCTTTGTGGCTTGCGTCTGAGAAAAGCGCTGTATAAATAAACCTCTTCTTCTTCATTAGCTTTAGACATGACTCTACATCAGATGATTGTAATTTTCACTTAAAATAGTTTTTATATCTAATTAGACCAACATCTTCTGACCAAATAGGGAGAAAACAAAAATGTATAGCTGTCACTTTCCAGGAAACACCTTGAGCATGACTTATTGGTCATAAAAATAAATGAACTCAAAATGTTCTCATTGAGCTAGGGAAATGAACATCTGATCTTTTGTTTTCCAACAGGAACGTCTGGCTCCACATGAGGGCATCCGGCCGATGAGGGCCATTTTCACCAGAGACGGAAACATCTTCACCACAGGATTCACCAGGATGAGCCAGAGAGAGCTCGGTCTCTGGGACCCGGTAACAAGTACCTTTTAAACCTCCACGATTACCAAAAATGAACATGCACAATCAGATTTAGGTTTAATTTAATGTTTTTGCTCTAAACAGACAAACTTTGAGGAGCCAATAGCACTTTTGGAGTTGGACACAAGTAACGGAGTGTTGTTACCATATTATGATGCAGATGCAAACATGGTCTACTTGTGTGGAAAGGTACATAAACACATTTTAAATGACGTTAAAACAATTTATAAATGCATGATGTTTCCAGCTCTGATCATGAAGGTGTGATGTGTTTTTTATGTGATTAGGGGGACAGTAGCATCCGTTACTTTGAGGTGACGGACGAGCCGCCGTACGTTCACTACCTCAGCACCTTCAGCAGTAAGGAGCCCCAGAGAGGGATGGGCTTCATGCCCAAGAGAGGAGTAGACGTCACCAAATGTGAGATCGCTCGGTAAGATTCTGATGTTGAGTCAAAGGAAAAAAGTTTGCTAAAATATTGGTAACGCACACACTTGCAAAGCTTTCCTGAGACTCTAAAGCTAGTTTTCCATGAGCACTACTCAGCCTGAAACAAGTCTGTTCGGCGTGGTTTGAGTCAACTCACCCATGCCAGCTCCATGACAGAAAGTGGGTGCGCCCCTCATAGATGTGGAGGGATGGATGGGGTGGGGGGCTGCTGCACTCGCGAGGGGGGTGGGGGCTTACTCGTGGCAAAATGGCATGAGGTGATCAGTAAACAGTGTGACCTGTATGCTTCACAGAAACACAACTCAGAACAAGAGTGGTGTTGTTGGACATTTTGCTCCATTTTATGGCTTATTGTCAGACTGAACCAAAAAACGGCTGCAGGCAGTGAAGAAAAAGGCAGAAAACTCCAGCGCAACCAGTGACTCCGCCCCCTCACCAATCAGGAACCAGAGTACCAATGCATGCCCGACTCAGCCTTGCCAGGAACCCCAACGGAGCAAGAACTAAACACTAAAGAGAAAGTAGAGGGAAAATATCAAACCGTCCCATTTTAAACTGGTCGGGCTGAGCCGCACCGATCCGAGTCACTCTGAGCAGTGCTCGCAGAAAACCACCTTAATCGTCTCAGTCTGGGTCAGTAGGTCACACAGTCATGGAGGAGACTGCTGAGGACAACCATTGACACCGTTCATAAAAAGGGTTAGCTACAAAGGTCTTTGCTTAAGAAGCTGCCTGTTCAAACAGTGGGGTGTCCAATCATGTGGAAGGAAATTGTGTGGTCGGCTGCTCGGTGGTCCAAAGTCCTCTTTTCAGATGAAAGTAAAGTCTAAATTTGTAAATGAAGATCCCAGAGTCTGGGGAAAGAGCGGAGAGGTGCAGAAGCTACTTAACTTACACAGTGAGTGATGATTGCGGGTGCTGGTGTTTTCTGAAGTTCAGTCATTGCAGTCCCCTACAAGAACATTTTATAGCACTTCTTCTTTCCTTCTGTTTATGGAGAGGCTGGTTTTATTTTCCAGCAGAACTTGGCATCCGCCCTCAGGGCCAAATGTACTGAAAGCGGATTAAATGACCACGGTGTGACTGGGCTCAGGTGGACAGCCAACTGGGATGCTATCATGAGGACAATGAGAGACACCAGACCCAACATTGAAGTGGCCTCTAAGCTTTGATCAAAGCAACCTGAGCTTCATTACACCTCAGCAGAGCAGCAGGCTGATGGCCTCCATGCATGAAGCAATTCATAAATGACCATTTCTGCAAAACTTTGATCACATAAGACTTGTGCACTTGAGATGATCAAGTTTTAACCATGCATACATAAAGTGCTTATGTTTTTTTTCTGTCTCAGGTTATTCAAGCTCCATGATAAGAAGTGTGAACCCATCACAATGACAGTGCCCAGAAAAGTAAGAGCAGCTCACACTCTCATGACTTTGACAGCGGTAGATGACAAAAACATTCTCCTGAAGAGATCAGATTACCGCATTGCATTATTTTTTTCCCTTTAACCATTTTTAATACAACCTCTAAGATAAAGAAATAGCACTAAGAGTCTCTTTTCTCTCTTCTTCTTCCTGTCTCTCAGTCGGACCTCTTCCAGGACGATCTGTATCCAGACACAGCAGGACCCGAGCCTGCCATGGAGCCTGAGGAATGGCTGGATGGTCGGGATGAAGACCCCATCCTGGTGTCCATGAGGGAGGGCTACATACCACCTAAGAGTCGAGAGCTCAAAGTGGTAAAAAAGAACGTTCTGGACTCCAGACCCACCACCCGACGCAGCATGTCCGCTCTGGATACTAACAGCTTGCCAGTAAGTTCACTGTATTTCTTTTATGTCCTGTTTCTATCGGAAATGTTTAAAATCCTAAAATTTTAATTAGGTTTCGATGCATCATAAATATTGTTTGAACATCAGCTACCACCTTTAATAACACCTACTTCTTTGTTTATTGTCATTTTTGTTTATCTCTTTCCTGTGCACAACTTTTTTCTGCCCAAAGCTTCCATCTTTGTTTTGGTTAATTTTCTCTAGTTGCTCACCACCCTTGACCTTTTTGTCCTTCCTCTCCTCACCCTCTTCCTATCACTGTCCGTTTTTCCTTTCTTCCTTTCCTCTTTTCCTTCTCTTTGCTTTTCTTTCTTCGCAGCCTCAGCTGCTTGAGAGGTTATTGGAGGAGATTCAGAATCTGAAGGCAACAGTTTTGTCTCAGGAGAAGAGGATCTGTGACTTGGAGAATAAGCTTTCCCAGTACACCAATGGCACTGACTGATGTGCAAATGAACACGCCTGGAAAAGAACTGGTCCAGATTTTAAAATCACCAATTTTTCCTGTACTCACAAAAAAAAAAAACACCTATAAAAATACTTTTAACAATCTTCAAGGTACTGCTGTTTTGGAGCAGGAATGCTGACGACATTTTGTCCAAAATTATCCTAAAATCAGATTTCAGTGTAGAGGAATTGTTCAGATATTTTGAAGTAGAACTCCATGGAAAAGTTATAAACATCTAACGTCTTGTTGTAGATAAATCCTGGCTTCTTGTTCTGTTTTAACCAGACTGACGAGCTAACAGCTAGTCTGAGAATGGCTGAGACATGCACAAGGGGATGCTGTTGTCAAAAACTCAACTGTTTCAAAAAGATGTCATTGATGCAAACCTCAGCAGCTTTTTAATTTGCGTTGTAAAGTGCAAAGAAGCCTTTAGGGTTAAGATGGCGACACTTTCAGAATACAAAAAAACAAACAAAAAAAGCAATACAAGTAAAGTTTTTAAATAACACAAAAAATATGATGCACTTTATTGCGAAAAATATCTCAGTGTAGTGGTTTGCATAAACTTTTATTCAGTTTTTGAGAATAAAGTTGTTTTCAGATGGTGGAAATCTACTTTTTAAAGCTGTTATAGCAAATTTGGAAAACAAATTAGCTTAAAACATTTTTTTATGCCTCTTATTACACAGTATAGCTATAAATATATTGTGGAGATTAAAAAATACATTTAAAAATGACTAAAATGGTTCTCTCGCATTTGTCTAAAAACCTCGACCAGTAAAACGTTTCGGACGAAAAGCAACTGTTTGACCATCTGGTTGTCGGTCTCGCCAAACCGCCTCACTTCCCTGGGTTTTCCATTCATTACACACTCATGCATTTAGCAACAGAACACCACTGGTGAGAGAGGTTCTCCGCTCAATAATATCAGAGAAGGAGGAACAGCCGGCTGCTACCACTTCAACTTTAGAACAAACTACCAGAGTCCCAAAAAGATGTTCTAGATCTAGAAAATTGCGATTGACATTTAGCGCCATCCCATTTCCTCTGGCATCGTGGGTTTCCGGTACCGGTTCGCGAGTATCCATGAAATATACCTAACGGGAGGGGTGAGTGTCCCGTGACCATATTTGCATTTAAAAACCTGCTTGTTTGCAGATTTTCCATAACAGCTTTAACTGTTGAGATTGACTTTTTTGAGAGAGACGATCTAGGACTTAAACAATGACAGCTCCCTAAACACGTAGAACTTCAGATAGTCCTGACAGGTCACAAAAACAATGAAACTTTTCTAGTGGGTAAATATCTGGCCTGTAATACACACATTTGATTTCTGGAAAGTGAAAATGCTATTTAATTTACAGAAACTTGATCGATTGTTACAAAATATTACAGATTTACAGGTTATACTTCCTGTTTGATCTGAAAAAAATCACTCAAGTGACCAGCCGTTTCTGCAACTAGCTGTTAGCTCGTCAATCCTGTCAGAGTGAATATGGTTTAATCTACACCTTGAAAGATCTAAATTATCCTTCTGCAATAAAATGTACCTTTAGGCCTATGTCAATATGTTTTAGTGAGGTCACGTCTCCATGGTGATTTAGAAGGAGTGAAACAAGAGCTGTGGAACGTGTGATGGAAGGTTTGACGGCTGTGTAAGGTTGTGTAAGACGTCTGAAGAAACGGACGTTTTCAACAGAAAAAGAAGGAAAAATAATAAAAGTAGGTAAAAGGGCCAGAACTAGACTAAAAAAATCACTAAAATGAATAAGAAAAAAAATGCACATATTTGAACACTTGTTGATGCCTCAACTTTTGTATTGGATGAAATATGACTCTGTGAAAACATTACAAAATGTAAATAGTGGTTTTAATCAAAAAAAGCAGGTGAAAGACTGTTTTTGTCCTGTAAGAGTTAAAATACACACATGACAACAATAAATTTTTTAAGTGTCTGATATCTTTATTTATTCGTTTATTTTCCCATGAAAACTCACCCTCATTGTCTCATAAATATAATAAAAACAATTTTAAATTAGGAAACCTCATTGTGGCAAGGTGGGGAAGCGATCGCCGGGCGGGACACGATCCTCAGACTCCTGGGTGAGAGTCATGTGCGCTAAGTCAGCCATAGGGACATCCCCTTGGCCAAGTAGCCAGGGCTCATGATCCGTCGGGTCACAGTGACAGGACGCTCATACTATCACATCATGATGACACGAGCAAGTAAACGATTGTGGCCCTCGACTTCATTAACGATACCTCTGAGTGAAACGCTGAAAAGTGCGCCAACAGACTTCTAGTAAATATAATATTTTATAATGTAAAGATTCAGATGTTAAACTCATCACCAGGAAAGGCATGCAAACACAGAGCAGCAACTTCTGAGCAGTTCTGGTGGAAAATAATCCAGGAGATCCAGTCTTTTTAACAGAGTAGCTACAGATTTCCACATTTCCCACCTGATCCACAACCACCAGCTGCACATCAGGTGAGCAGCAGGAAGCCACGTACGACACCAGACTCACATTCTCAGAGCTGATGCTCAAGGTGCCGCCACCTTGTCTGATTCTGACGTGATCCACACTCGTACCATTAGCTACAGCACTGACGTGGACAGACATCTCCCACGTCGACTGGCTGCAGTCATCCAAGCAGGCGGACTGAAGACTGAGCAGCTGACACACTGGCTGGGTGAAATCAGTCACCTGTGAAACAATAATGTGTCAATCATCTGTGCTTTAAAATGGAATAAAACGCAGTTTACATACTCAGATAAGGCATTACCAGTTGAAGGACGATGAAATGGAGCACCTTATAGTTGGTGTCTGCACCTCCTGGAGCTACAACTTCAATGGTCAGAGTGACACTGGTGCCAGACGGGGTGTCAGGAGGTGCTGTGATGTTTACTGTACCGTTAGCACCACCTCCAGCATCCAGGAACAAACTGGATGGGAAACTTATTTTAAAACCTTGATCATTGGTAGCTTGGATGGAGAAGTTTCCACCTTTTCCAAAAGTCATCACAGAGAAGGGAACTAATTCAGGCCTTCCAGGCTCTAAGACCAAATCCGAGTTCCCCTATTAAAAGAGTAAAAGAATAATAAAAAAAACTTGCTACTTACTCTAGGAAACAGATCTTAGATGGTAGCATTTGCTTACAGCGATAACAGTGAGAGCAGAAGCTCTCAGGCTGGTGGTGGATTGTCTTTGAAAGTTCTCTGAGGTTCTTCTGGAGGTGCTGTTGATGTTCTGCCCCTTCACGAGAACCAAAAACTCAAACAAAGGTAGCTCATCAAAACGAGCAATAAAATGTCCTCCACCCTGATTCTCCACACTGCTGTGAACCTGACCTGAACCCATGGATTCAACCAGGGCAACCTCCGTTACTGTGACAGAGTCACTCCCGATTAGTGTGACCATTAGAGTAGCATTTCCACCTTAAATGGAAGGAAAAAAAATCACTAAATTTTAATTGCATTCATCAGATTATAACACGTCGGAAGATTTTGCTGCCATTACCAACTGTGGGACGATTGTCTATTAGGTCAAACCCTCCAGAGGCGCCGTGCAACTCCTCCACAAAGTCAAAAAAGAAGTCAACTGAACTTTCACCTGTAAACAGAAAATCGGTCACCTTTGTTGGATTATCATTCCCTGGTGGGTGAAAAGCCTATTCCAGCACATTTTTTTGTAATGTATGGAGATCTCACCAACAACTTTCAGGCTGTAGGAGTCCGTTGGCATCATTCTTATCTCCCACACTCCCACTTTCATTTGAAGCAACACAGTCTGAAAGTTTCCAACAGGCTGGGATGAAATGACTGATGATGGTGTCTCAGAATTTTGAACAACACCTAAAAACCAAACCAAGAAACTATACAAAAGTTAAATACATTGATGGAAAGTCGTTAGTGAAACAGTGTTAGAACAGAAGCCAGATGAACGCAATTTCCAGCTTCTGAGACTCGATCACCTGAGGGGTCTATGAGTGTAAAATTAACACGTGTCCCGGTGATGTAAACCTTCACGTTTTTTAATGATTCATCCACTGAAAAAGTCAAATTTTCTGCCTTTCCAGGACTCCTGGATGTTTGGAGAAGGACGACCTGCAAAATCGAGACATCGCTTTGTAGTTTAAATCTTTTAAGGTGGAACTAAAGGAATATGATAACCCTGGTTTGTCCGTACCAGAGCGGATCTGGAGGATTCTCTTATGATGCTCATCACCTCTGGCAGCTGGTCTTTGGTGACTTCGATAACCTGACCTCCTGAATCCTGAGCCAGGTCTCTGAACAGCCGAGTATCCGAACTCACCATCTGATGGTGCTGCTGTTTGATGCTGCCGGCTTGTATTTGACGACGAAACTCGGGCGTGCTGGTTATCATGAAGTTAACCTGGGGGGGGGAGGATTAATGGTGAAGCTTTAAGGTGGTTGTATCCAGGTTTTGGTTTGAGTTACAATTATCTATAGTGTGACTGCATTAGCACAGCACTCACCACTGACTTTGTCTTCTCTATGAGTGCAACCACTTTGCTTTTCAGGGATGCGTCTTTCACGCTTGCATCCGTGAAGACGAAGATCTCCGAATTAGGAGGAGACCCACTTAAAGCCAGCTTTATGTGAGTTTTTAAAAAGAGCTTTACAGATATCTGACTGAAAAAGCAACATTATTAAACATCCTCAACGACAGACATACCTGCAATGCTGAAAGACTCATTTCTGGAAAATCTCCACCACCAGCAGCTGAGAGTGAGTTGATGGAAGTTTTGAACTCCCTTGGGTCGGTTGTTCTTTTTAGAGGCCCAAAATCTATTTTTTATTGAGAAAAACAAAGCATCTAAGGGATTCATAATAAAAAAGGCAACAAAACAAACACACAAGAAGAGAGGCTGATTAGAGAGGATGAACCTACCTGGATCGTTAAAGGGTACTAGAACATATAACGAGGGCTCATCTTGTGTTCCAACTTTACTGTCGATTATAGAACATATTAGAGTCTTTACCGCTGCCATTTCTTCACTCATGCTTTCTGTCGTGTCGATCACAAAGCAAAGAGCTTTACTGGAACCTCTGGAGATTCCCATCATCCTGAAGGAAGATAGGTTCAATAAAAGGTGTTTTATCTTTTATTTTATTCTACAAATGAATTCAACCCAAAACGCGTCTTACTGAAGGAATTCTTTGTCTCCAGCAGCTCCTCGAATCTCCTCCAGCAGGTCACTGGTTGCAGCGATGGCCAGATCTGCTGCTTGGCTGTGGAGATGTCCATGGCTGGAGGCGGATGAGTCTTTGTTGATCCCACCTTTAGGTTCAGTCCTACGGGTTTTATCAAGGGAGTCTCCATGGCTGCATTTTCCTGTTTTTATTGGAGTTTTTACATTTTATCTACTGACACATGCTTAATTCCAGTTGATTGTCCAGCTCTGTCTATCTATTCAGTCTCTCATTAGTTTTTGTATTTTTCAGTGCTTTCAAAAAGAAAATCATCTCTGCACTGTTGCAAAAATTTCTTTATTTTTCTGACCCCCCCATAACCAGACATGACTAATTTTAGACCCAAGTTAAAACAGTATTAGTTGCTCTGGAATGCACAAACAACAACAGCTATATCAAATATGTACAGTAATTCAGTGGTGTGTGCATCATGAGATTTAACTAATGACTTGTCATTGGACACTTTGTCTCCAGCCACCAAAATTTTGAAACCCCTACTGCCAGATCAACTGAATATAAATATCAAACAACTTTGCAACAAAGCGACTTTTTGTCAGCCTTTAATATAATCTTCCTACAAAAACTGTTTGTTTGGGCTGAAATTTTCAGTCTAAAACATGATTTTTGGCTTCCAGACATAAAAGCAACAGCAGAAAGACATTGTATACAATTAAACTATACACTGGAGCCCCTCAGGGATGTGTACTCGGTGATCAGTTCTTTACCCTGCTTCCCCGTGACTGACAAAAAAGGTCTGCTGTGATTTCTCTTGACATGATGTGGAAGTTGAAAAAAACTGAATGACTCTAAAAAGTGAAAATGTATACCTTTGGGTTTGTTTGAGGACAAAATGCTAAAATATCCTGATGTGAGTATCTTTTCATGCAGGATGTCATCCAAAAGATTGTTGCTGCAATCTTGTCCATTGCAGTCTCGGCACGTTGCTCTGCTTTTAGCTTTAAAAAAACACATTAAACTTTATTATCAATGAACAGGGTCAGTTTAGCTTCTGTGCACTAATTATGGACTCTTTACCTGCAATATTTCCAATGCGAGTGTTTGCCCTGGTTAGATTAAAGTTAGGAAGTTTATTGCCCATTTCCACCCAGTTACTGTGACTGTAGAAATCCTTCAGGTCAATAGGAAAAAGTTAAATATATTTAATTCAATACATGTATCTGAAATTATATTTCTACCCATATATTAAAGTTGTAAGTTTAACCAAATCAGTAAGATCTGAATTAAATGAAAATACCTGTAAGGTGTGCAATATTTCCCCCAGCTTTAATACAGCTGATAAATAGTTGTGTTTCCTGTTAGCAGCCTTCACGGTGGATAATCCCTCCAGGATGAGCTTCCTCCCTTCTTCAAATGTCTCATCATCAAAGTGAAAAGGTGCCTTGAAGACTTTGTGAAGGTCTACCAACCAGTTGGCCATTTTTATCTTCCGGATTGACCAGAGGAAACTTTTGGAGGATCGTAGCGCTTCACATGCAGCAGCAACTGCCTCCGCTGTTAAACGTGACTGCAGTGAAACAAACACATAGATTCACAACTTGATCACGGTTTGAAGGAAACATTTCTCTTAAGTTTGGCTTCTTACAGGAAAAGTGAAGGTCTTTCCCTCAGTGAGAGCCAGAGAGCAGCACACTTGTGCCGTGACGTTTAGGATCGCCTTCTCCGTTATGTCTTCGTGAGTTATAGAGTCACCAGATAAAATACGAAATCCTAGAGCGCCACATTGTAGGAGCAGGAGAGCCAGAGCTGTCAGCCCAGACATGACTGCTCAGTGTGATCCAATCTGTTAAAAACACACATAAAATGTAACATCATAATGGTGTTTCATCTTGTTGGAGTTTTAATTATGCAACCATAATCAGTTCTTGTTCCATTCAAATTTTTAGTCAAAACAATTTTTTGTCTGTTATTCTGATGTTGATCCAAATTCCTCTGGAAAATTAAAAACTGTCCAAAACAATTAAATTCTGAATAATCAAGACAATAGAAATATCCCAAAACAATGTCAACTTTAGGACCATTTTACACAATGTAATGTGAAAACATTACAGATAAATAGAAATATTAGCAAAGAGGATCAAAGAAACCTTTTGTATCTGCATTTCTCTGGATTACATGCATATTTAGGGACAGTTTTACAATACAATTTAGGAAAAAAAATCTCTAATCTGATCTGAGAAAAATAGCAAACAATTATTAATCTATTAGAAAAACTACATGACAATGAGAACACGAGAGTTATCAGTACCTGCTGTCTTGACGCAGTCTTGATGCTGATGTTTCATGTTGACCTTTCCAGATAAATAAGCAGAGTGGAACTGATGGTTGATCATGTGCTGCAGTTGTGGGTTAGCTATGATGAGTGGCTGACCCACAGCTGCATGACTGGTTATGACATGAGATAGTCTTCAAAGAAATACAAATAAATCCTAAACATGAATAAATACAAATGACCACAATACACATACTTTATATTATTTACACATTTTAATAGTACTTTTTTTAATAGTTTCCTTTCTCTTAATCACAAATCAATATAAATTCTGGAAAATACCATGAATAACTTAAGCCCCACAAACAGTAGAAAAGCAGTAGAAAAATATTATAGCTACAATCATAACCCACTGGTCTATTATTATTATTATTATTATTATTATTATTATAGGCAAGGCAGGTTTGTTTATGTTGAACATTTTACACACATTCAATGTTATTTTCATGTGCAAGTAAAAACTTTGAATAAATAAAAACTATTTAGATATCAACGTTACAACCTAAAATATTACATTTTACAACATAGAACACTAAATAAAAAAAGATTAAGCTAAACTAAAGACTGAGCAGTTACAGCGCAGAAGGTGCAGCATAAGAAGCAATCCTACAAAAACAGATGAAAAGATCAATGTTTCTAGAGTTGGGGCAGATTTGAAGTCATAAGGAAGCATAGTAGCTAAAAGCTGCGTCACCCTGTTTTGGTTCTGACCCGGGGTTCAGCCAGCTGACTGTTTCCTAAGAAACTCAGAGCCCTATTGGGTGTGTAGCCTGCAAGGAGATCCGACATGTATTTTGATTCTCTGAGTCTTGTTAATTGATGAAGATGATAAAAAGCTGCACTTTCCTTGGGCACTAAATCAACACTGCAGCTGTTCATGGGGCCACTGTCTTGTCTTTTGTTGACCCTCGCCACACCCGTCCCATTGGCTCCATCACTGACCTGGACAGAGAGCTCCCACACTGACAGTCTGCAGTTGTCAGAGCAGTTGGACTAGAGGCTGAGCAGCTGACACGCTGGCTGAGTGAAATCAGTCGCCTGTGAGGGTAGAAGTATGACAACTAGAATGAAACAACATGTAGTCCCAATGATGCTTTTATATATGTTTCTTGCCCAAATGTTACCAGTTGAAGGACGATTAAACGGAGCACAGCATAGTTGGTGTCTGCGCCTGCTGGTGCTGTAGCCTCAATGGTCAGAGTGACACTGGTACCAGACGGGGTGTCAGGAGGTGCTGTGATGTTCACTGTACCATTAGTACTACCTCCAGCATCCAGAAACAAACTGGATGGGAAACTTGAAGTGAAACCTTGATCATTGATAGCTTGGATGGCGAAACTTCCTCCTACACCACTTGTGGTCACAGAGAAGGGAACTGACTGTGGTGTTCCTGGCTTCAAGGAAGTATCAGAATTACCCTAAAACACAGAAGAAAAGAAAGATGCAAAGTCCACTGGAGTAAAAATCCCAGATAAGATTACAAAATAAGATGGTAGCATTTGCTTACAGCAGTAACTGAGAGCAGAAGCTTTCAGGCTGGTGGAGGACTGCCTTTGGAAGACCTCTGAGGATGCTCTGGAGATGCTGTTAATGTTACGACCCTTCAGAAGAACCACAAACTGAAACGATGGGATTGAATCATACCGAAAAAGAAACTGTCCTCCAACTTGAGCGGCCATTGTGCTCTTAACTTGACCTGAACCAGAAGACTCAACCAGAATGACCTCTGTTACCGTGGCAGAGCCACTCCCAATTAGTGTGACAATCAGACTAGCATTACTACCTTTAAAGAGAGTAATCAGCTCACTTATGTGTGCACTTATTAGATTATTTTTGACAATCATAAAGCTGTGTTTCCTTTACCAGCTGTTGGACGATTGTCTGTTGGATCAAACCCTTCAACTGGGCCACTTGACTCCTTCACAAAGTCAAACAGGAAGTCTATTGGACTTCCACCTATAATAATAAAGATGTTAATAAATTGAAACAAATTTAAAAAAAATTAACCCTTGAAGCTCATATGGAGAGCTTCCATGTGATTAATTTTGTTCAAAAGTTTTTGTCATCTTGCAGGTGTGGATGGTGGCGGACCATGTGTGGTGGAGCAGATCAGGAGGTAGGAAAGCAGACACGGATAAAATAAAAGTAGATTTAATGGCAGAGCGGGAACGACAGAACAAAACAACGCTGACAACAAACAATGACCCCACAAAGACTCAAACAAGACGGGAGGTATAAATACTCAGGGAAACAATCAGGAACACATGGGCGGATTAAAGCTTGGTTTATGCTTGACGCATTCACTTTCCGCTTTTTGATGCGGCTCGCGGACGGAACGTGCTTCACAACTCGCAGCGTTTATGGTTCATGCGGCTTGTCTCTGCAGTGAGCCAATATTCTCCCAAACTGCAGGGGGCAGCATGGAGCTCTACAGCATGCATCCAACACTACACCGTAGTAGAAGTAGAAATTACTGTTTACAACATGGCATTCCAGCATTTTTAACAGCATCCTCGTCTTTTCCGACAGTGTGAGCTATTTCTCTCCAAGAATTATTAACAACATGTTGATCACGGTGATCTTTGAGAGCTGAATCATACAAATGTCTGTATTTACGAACCTCTGCCATACTAGTTCTTGCCGGTCCGCCATGTTTTTCCGCGTCCATCCGTCCGCGTGGTTAGGAAATTTCCTAGGTGCGCGTTGCGGAAATTTTGGGCCGTGCGGAGGCGTGGTTGTTAAGATGAGCAAAATGACGCAACTTTTCCGCGTGGAGCCGTGCGGACCTCACGGACGCGTCAAGCATAAACCAACCATAACAAGGGGCAGGTGAGAACACTAAAGACTAATTAAGGGCAGGGGAGAGACACAGTCAGGGAGGCAGGAGCAGATTGTGACAGTTTTGTATTGCTTGATTTAATTACTTGTTTACAGATTAATGGAAAAGTTCTTGTACAATTATTTAGTAGCAATATATGATATAATGAGGGTATAAGTGCAGGGTACTCACAGGGGTACACGCATCCTGTATTGTATATGTACTGGAATGTGAACCATGTACATACCCCTGTAGTGTATCAATAGTTACATCTTACGTAGGAATCAATTTGATGTATCTTTAAATACTACCTTTAAACAGAAGATCAGAACTTTTTATTGCAGGGATTAGGTAACACTTCGTAATAACCCAGAGTAAAAAGAGAGACAAATTTTAAAGTTTAAGAAGATTTCTAAACAATTTAAAACAAGGCTAACTCTAACTTTAAACACTCTGTGTGATGAATGGATCTAGGTTGTGAATGAGGCAAAACGAAGGGTGTAATGTGGAATGTTGTTATCAGAACTCTCGTTTCCAGAGAAGCATAGTTCTGTGTGGGAGCGAATGTTTTGCTCTAAACTATAGTCGGCGTTTCAAAAACCACATTCAGACACTATCTTGCTGTTCTACATACCCTTGACGAAGACTTCTGTATAGCCAGAATGCCAGGTTCTCGGACCCCCATTTGGTACCGGAGCCGATGAAACAGCGTATGGTACGACAGACTAGTCTTGGGATTTCCTCCAGGTAAGCGGCAGTTGGTTGACAGCGTCAGCGAGACCCTGAAGGGTCAGTGAGTTCAGCTTTTATTCTGAAGGAGCGTTGCTTCAGGTGGAGTGTGCAACAGGTTTTATTATCCAGCTGGTCAAGATTCTTTGTGATTAAAAAGTTACGAGTGGCCGGCTCGCAACTCTAGAACGTTTGAATTGAGTTAAGGGTGACGTGGGAATTCGTTTTATAATTCAGATGTTTGGATTTATGGTCGAATTAGGATTGGACACAAATATAAACCCTGCAGAGATTAGGCCACGTGTCAGAAAGGAAAGCTCTGACTGGAGAGATAAAGGAATGTGTCTAGTGATCTTAACATTACGTGTGATCAGTCTAGTGTGTAGTTTAAAGTTATATTACTTATTAAAATACTATCATAGGATTATAATATCCAGTGGTGGCTGGTGAAAAATATTTTTGGTGGGGCTGTGCTATTTTTTATTTTTAAACAAACTTGTGCTTTCTGAGCTTTGTGCACAACTTCACTATTTCCTGAATTAAGCACAGCTCTTTTATTTCCTGTCTTACATCATTGGACAAACTGATTAATCCAGGTGTGTCTGACTATTGGCACGCTGCCTTGCGGACCAAGGTTGAAAAATATTGCATTAAATTGCACATAAAATAACATGACCATAAATGGTAAATAGGCAATGCAAGAGGCAAGTAAAAAAATATTTTGTTTAATTTCAACATTTGAGTGAACACAAAAAATTATGAGCAGGTCACTGTTACAGTAATGGTAGTAAACACTACTTAGACAAAATGCCAGATATTTACACTGTTAAATATTTCTGGAGTGTTGTGCCAAGGTCAACTTTATACAAAGATCAAGTGGATGCATTTGTGTGTGTGTGATACCTCATTTGTACAGAAATTTTGCCCTTCTGTCCTTCTGAGTGGCAAAGCTCTCGATTAGCTTTTTATTAAAGTCAGGAATGTTTGTGACAAGCTTTTTTTCCATGGAGAGCATGGCAAGAGCATTCAGCCCATCCTGTGTCATGGTGTTCCTCAGGAAAGTCTTAATCCTCTTTAAAGTAGATAAATTAAAAAAACAACAGATAAGTACATAGGAAACACTTTCATAGGAAATAATGTCATCGGTACCCTCTTACAAATGTCATATTTCCCAGTTTTTGGGACAATAAAACATTTCTGATTCTCAATCAGATGTTTTTACATTTGAAGTAAAAACATCTGATTCTCAATTAGATGTTTTTACATTTGAAGTAAAAACATCTAATTGATAATCAGAAATGTTTTATTGTCCCAAATCCTGGGAAATTTGTTTGCTGCAGCAGAAGTGTAACAAGTAAAATTGAATCAGACTGATGTATGTACAAATTTACATGAAATACACATTTACATGATTAAATATGTATAATAAGTATGTGTGTTGAAATGAGTTTTTACAGTTATTGCACATTAAACAATGTACATGTTATTAAACAAATGTCCCGGTTTGTGGGACGACCAAGGATTTCTGATTCTGATTGTCTTGTTCACAGAAATGTAATGTACAGCTTACCTCTGCACCCAGCTGCTGTTGTTCTCCCTGGCCAAACGTCCTCCGTTTCCCTCGTCGAGCTGCATGGCAATGTTAGCTCTGCCTAGCATGGCTAGCTTCACCGTGTTGTGCATGTGTGCCCGGGATGACTCGTGTTTCTTCACCTTTAGTTGAGACTCTCCGAGTTCTAC